GCCCAAGTCAGATTAGGATCAGATACTCTCAGGCTTTCTCCTAAGGTCTGGATCCCTCTTGGAAAGACGTTGCCCTCAGGAATTTGGGGGCTGGGCTGGCTTGGGAGCAAGGCCCATGAAAGATGCTAGTCTCAGGAAGATGGTGGCTGTGCCACCCAAGAATGTAAAGGTAGGTGGGGGTGGGAAGAGGCCCTAAACGATGTATGTTCTCCCTCATATGTAGATCCTAGCACCAAATCCTTTTAAATTCCATGTCCTTTCAATAAGATGATGCTGTACAGCAGTCTCTATTGCATGAAATTACTATCATTATCATGACTTCAGCTGTGCCTGATTGCTAAACATCGTCACAATTTGGCTTGTTGACAGTTGTGGTCATTCATTAAAGGAGGGCTAAGCAGAGTCATTGGACCATCACTAGAGTATCCAGCCACTCTCTCCAGTCAAGTGTATGTAATTTGGCCCTAAACATACATAGTCTCCTGGATTTGGGGAGGGTTAAAGTATATAATCTGGGGAAGGTTTGTAAGAGAAGGCATGATCCATGCTGGGTAAAGGCTTTCCAGTGTGCATACCCTCAGGTCATACATACACCTCAGCAACCTCTCAGTTATTTCAGTAATTAAGCTCAGTAAATTCATTGGTTCCCCATTAAAACTTTAATCAAACATTTGCTTGACACTAGAACCTTAAAAGGCAATAAGCATTGCTTAGTACCCCCAGGGAAAGAATTCTCACAACAGATGGAAAATTTATTTGTTAATACTATTATGTCTCATAGTTATTTTAAAAAAAAGAAAATGGGAATGTAAAAGATGTTAAAAGGATATGGGAATGGAGATATTTTCCAAAATAGAAAAAATGAGAAAGCCTAATCAAGTGATGAATGTCTGTGTAGGTTTGTTATACTATATAAAGGATGAGACAAAAATATTATATACATAATCCTAAAATTTTTAAGGTCATAGTTTAGTCAACTAATTTAAGGAACAAAATATATATCTAGTTAAGGTTTATCTGAGAACATTTGTTTTTTTGCCCAAGCTTTATCTACATAGCACATGGTAATTAGAAGTACCAGACTGGTGGAACTAACCTTATTGGATGTTTAACAGCCATACTTTGAGGCCTATACTAATCTGTTCAGAGGGACTTAAAGGACAGTTTTTGCTCCTTGCCCTCCAAGGTCGATTAAGTTCCAGGGGACTATGGAACATCTCTCAAAATGTCCTGTAACAGTGGTGAGTCACCTGTCCTCTTGTTCAGGGAGGACATGGAGACACCACAAGATAGACTTGAACGAGTGTCTAGTTGACAAAGAGAAGGGTCAACTCAGAGGAAACAGCTCATCCATGCTTCCAAGTGAAGCCAGACATGGTTGAACAAGACCTTTGACTTATCTTCACATAGACAGAACTGGTAAAAGAAAGGAGCCAGGGGCTCCTCCCAAGCCCATGTGATCCCTGAGGAACAGATCCTCAAACAACCTTAAGTGTAAAAATACATTGGTTTATTTGGGTCAATTGTATGGTCTTAAACATCCAAAAGGAAATTATAACCAAAGAGTAAAGTCACCAATATATTTCTTTAAAAGGGAT